ATTTCTCATTTTATCTATGTTACTATGTATCTATACTTCTAAACTATATATTGATACTTTAAAAAAACATATATCAACTACATATTTCCCACTTCTAAAAATATATGTATATACTTATATAAACATGTTTATGAATGAACAAGTTTTTTTTATTGATATGTATATTTTTAAATACATAAAAATACGTTTTGTAGTTCTAAAAACTATTAATTTGTTTTTTTACATCTTAAATGGTTTATCCAAGAAAAAAAATCCATACACACACACACACCCACACACATATATATATATATTATATATATATATATATATATATATATATATATATATATATATATATATATATATATATAATATATATATATATATATAGTACGTCCGTGTTTCTAGGCTAGACATTAATATTGACATAATGGTCTAGGCTAACCTTTGTAACTCATTTAGAAGAAATGAAAAGGAATTATGTGAATATTATGTGAATTATGTGTTTTATGCTTAATTATTAGGGTTTAATTAATTAAGAATAAAAATGAGCGTCAAAATTAAATATTAGATAAAGCCGATATCTATTAAGAAACTTGTAGTGGGCGTGACAAGGATTACGGATATATAAAGAATGCCGAAATCCGAGTTATAACGAAGAAGTTATGACCTGTCGAAGTTTCACGATAAACCGGCACGGTGCCGAATGTCGTAAAAAGTGAGTTTTTGATAAACTACTTTCTAGCCTTAGTGATGTAAACGAAACTTGTAGTGTTCGTTAAACCGAGAGTAGGTATAAAAAGAACACCCAAATCTCACTTCGTATGAGGAAGTTATGATTTTTCGAAGTTTCAGCTTAGCAGTAGACAGCTAAAAACTCGAATTTTAGATCGAGTGCTTTTTAGCCGAAACGAAATAAACGAGAATCGAAGGTCTCGTCATTAGTAGCACAACGGTAAAAAGACAGACGAAAACGGACGTCGGATGAAGAAGTTATGAATTTTTAACGGATTTCCTGTCCCGATCTGTTAAAAATAATAATTTAAAAATTAAAGTCAAAATTAGCCGACAAAGTCTAAACGAAAACGGAGCTCGTATGCGAAAGTTATGGATTTTAGAAGTTTTGGCGCGAAAATCGAAAAATTTCCCATGAATAGTGCCAGCCACATCATCCTTCACATGCAGCCTCCACGTGGCGTCTTCTGATTGGACCGCAGCCTCGCGTGGCACCCGCTGATTGGGCCGAAGTCGTCATCCCCTTTCCCCATTGGACCGAAGTTCGGTCCACTTAGAAGCGTCCACCTGTCCGAGCTTCGCACGTGGCCTTCGCAGGAGCTGCCCCGTGTCCGACCTTGCTGAGTCATCCGAATCGTGGCGCGTCCGAAGACCGACGCGTGTTTGCTGACTCCTCGCATCCGAAGCCACCTGCCTCGCCTCGCATCGGATACCTGGCCTTCGGATCTGCTGCCGCGTGTCCTCGGTGATGACTCCCTTCAATCGGCCGACTTCGGATTCTCCCCCATAAATAGAGGGCATGTGAGATTGCCCGAGTAACTTTGGGATTTTGCCCTTTTTCACCCCTAAACTCATATTTTTAGCATTTTGACTTCCCCCGAAGCCCCGAGATCATTTCCAATGCCCGGAACACGTCCCGGAGTGCCCGAGAAGCCCGGTAAATTTATTTTTTCGGTTACGAAGCCCGACCCTCGCAGAGCCCGGTTTCTCAATAAAACTCCAGGTTTTATTAGAAACGATCATTCTAGGCAACGAAGTGCTGTCCGGTTATCGTTAAATCAAGTGAGTGTATAGTTACTTTCACCTTACACATAGATATGAAGTATTTACCTTGAAATACGTGCTATGTGTAAATATATTAATTGTTAATTTGAGGTGACTGTTGAATTGATGTTTTATACAAGTTTTAAACTGTATATGTATTTTTATCTACAAATACGTTGGGTAAAACATGGGTAGATGAATTAGATGATGTGTGATGAAATAAAAGTGATGAGAGGTACCGATGTTTAAGATGATCTAGTCATCTAGCAGAGTATAGACAACGGCCACAGACTATTTTAGATAGTCTAGTGGAACGTTAGCAGACTTGTAATCGGTAAGTATGTTTGAACTATATGTTCATAAGGTGTTCTCGAACTATATGTTCATTAGGTGTTTTTGAACTATGTGTTAATCCGATAGTTCTTCTTTTTGACACTATTATGTGTCGAGGTACGGGAACGTACGGGAGTACTTTATTAGTATTTTCCCTATACTCTTATTTTGAAGAGCTTTGGAGTCTTTGTTTCTTCTATGAAGTGATCGGACGAGCTTCATGAGTCAGCGTTTCCGATGCCGGATAGGACGCGTTTGGAGGTTATACACCTCACGATATTCAGACCACAGCCTAGGCATTAGTCGGTGTTTCCATTTTCGATGCCGGATAGGAGTGAGTCTGGGGGTTCAGACCACAGCCTAGGCATTAGTCAGTGTTTTCATTTCCAATGCTGGATAGGGGTGAGTCTGGGGGTTCAGACCACAGCCTAGGCATTAGTCGGTGTTTCCATTTTCGATGCCGGATAGGAGTGAGTCTGGAGGTTATATACCTCACGATGTTCAGACCACAGCCTAGGCATTAGTCAGCGTTTCCAATGCTGGATAGGGGTGAGTCTGGGGGTTCAGACCACAGCCTAGGCATTAGTCAGCGTTTCCAATGCTGGATAGGGGTGAGTCTGGGGGTTCAGACCACAGCCTAGGCATTAGTCAGCGTTTCCATTGTCGGATAGGGTGCATCTGGGGGTTATATACCTCACGATATTCAGACCACAACCTAGGCAAAGTTCGATGATGGATAGGGTGTGTCTGGGGGCTACATACCTAACGATATTCAGACCACAGCCTAGGCATTGATAACTACCCCTGACTTAATTGTCTTGTGGTTCTTTCTTTTACGAACAAAGGTTCTTGGTTAAACTTATTTCAGTCATTCGATATCTTTATCGATCCTTGTTTGCTGCTAGGGGATTTCCGAAGCAGTTTCGTTAGTTGGTTGTTCATATCGATCCTTTAGGCTAGATCTAGTAAGATCATTGTATAGGATCAGTATGTGGGGATCGATGTTGTTAGTGCTTGTAGTATAAGCCTTGGGCAACGATGGACTTCGTGCCTATTCCTTAGGATGAATCCTTAGGAATGAGTGATAGTTGATTCTTAGGATAAATCCTTAAGAAATAAATAAGACAATGGGGATTGGGTAATTGGGTTGATTGTTTGATGTTTAAGCATAATAAATTATTTATTGTGGGTTGAAAACCCTATATGCTCACCAGGCTCCCAAGCCTGACCCACTCAGTTTAATTGTATCACAGGTATCGATATGAAGTTGCTTTACACTGAGAGATTAAAAGAGAAGTAGATCACTAGTGTAAATGAATGTAAGTTTTGTTTATGCTTATGTTTTTCTATTGACAATGACATCCCAATGGTTTAAATGAATAAAATACATTTCTTCGGAAATGATTTGATAACATATTTATTATGTTTTTCTGGGAACAAATTCCGCAACACTTTTAATCAAATGATTACTCTGAAATTATTTCAAAAGCATAAATTAAACTGGTCTTTTATGGCCGTGAATTTGGGGATGTCACATATATATATATATATATATATATATATATATATATATATATATATATATATATATATATAAAGAATTAACATTAAAAAATGTAAATACAATATTTAATTAAATTTTTTTCGTTTATAAATATGATTTTTCTGCTTGAATACGTATAATATGAAAAAAAAAATACATAGGGTAAAAGTGTTAAAAAATTATAAACTTAAGGGTAAAAACATAAAAAAACTGTAAACTTAAGGGTTTTTTTGCGAAGTTAATATAATGGTAACCTGTTATCACCGGTAAAAAGGTAAACCGAACATTTTTTGGAAAATGTTAGGGTAAAAACGGACATAAAATTCAACTTTGGGCAAAACCGACAAAACCCTGAAAACTTGAGGGTTTTTATGATATTAGCCCAAATAAAATTTAGGACTTTCTTGTCAAATCGTCAATTAGGACTTTACTGTCAAAAAAATAAAGTTCAGGACTTTCTTGTCAAATCGTTGAAAATATTGGGACTTTAGTGTATATATCATTTTTTTGTTAGAAATTTAATGGTATGATACTCTTTAAGCATAAAAGTTATTGAAACCTTCTCTAGTAAGTTGATTCCTATTGAAATCTTTAACGTTTGCTTCTTGTTAAATCGTTTTTTTAATCTCAACAAACCGCCATTAAAAAAATGGAGATAATCAAGAAAGAAAGAAAGAACCAGAGTTGAGTTTGCTTTTTGCAGTCCCAAAAATAGAGAAATAAGAAACCGAAAAAAACAAAATTTCTCTTCTTTTCAATATCGGTTTGTTGAGATTAAAAAAACGATTTAACAAGAAGCAAACGTTAATGATTTAAATAGGATCTAACTGACTAGAGAAGGTTTCAATAACTCTTATTCTTAAAGAGTATCATACCATTAAATTTCTAACAAAAAAAAAAGATATATACACTAAAGTCTCAATATTTTCAACGATTTGACAAGAAAGTCTTGAACTTTATTTTATTGACAGTAAAGTCAATTGACGATTTGACAAAAATATCCTAAACTTTATTTTTTTGACAAAAAAATCCTAATTACCGGCTAACCGGAAAAAAATAGTAAAAGTGTCAAAAACTGCCGGTAATTTGGACTTTACTGTCAAAAAAATAAAGTTTAGGACTTTCCTGTCAAATCAATAAAAATATTGGGACTTTAGTGTATATATCCCTTAAATAAATGAGTGTTTTTTGGGTGTTCTTAATGTTTGTACTTTGTATAAACAACTTTATAATATACATATAGATTGTGTTTTATAAAGTAAATAGAATAAAAGTTATAAATTTAATAAATAAGAAAATTAAAAATCAATGTCAATAGAATTGTATATTTATAAAACATCTTCAACATAAAGACTAAAGAGTCAAACCTTGTGAGCGGAACAACCAAAGTAGAGATCCATCTATAATCAATTGCCACCCATTACAGAAATTAGCCATCCAATCTCCGAGAGAGAGATATGGCGGAGCATGGCAGAAGAGGGTGGCAGCTGGTGCTGATATCAAGTCCACTTCAAGGCCACATGACGCCCATGCTCCAGCTTGGCTCATACCTTCAATCGAAAGGGTTCTCCATAATCTTTGCTCACTCCGAGCTCAACCCACCAGACCCTTCTAATCACCCTGACTTCATCTTCCTCCCTCTGCCGGATAACTTATCCGGCACAGGCATCTCTTCCGGCATCAATCAGTTCTTGAAAGCTCTCAATGAAAACTGCAGACCCCATCTCGAGAAACACCTGATTCAGATGATAAATACACAAAAGGAAACATCTGAAAAAGAATCAATCGTTATCATCTATGATAGCCTCATGTTTTTTGCCGGAAACCTCGCCGGCGATCTGGGTCTACCCTCCATCATCTTGCGCAGCAGCTGTGCAGCCTTCCTTCCTAGTTACTGGATCATCCCGCAGCTCCATCAAGAAGGTCGATTTCCTGTACAAGGTAATCGGCAATCCAAAACCCACATAAACAAACAATCTAAGTACTAAATTCTGCTTTAAAGATTCTTTTTTGCAGGAAATGATTCCAGAGTTCCATCCATTCAGATACAAAGATCTACCCTTTATTGGCCTTCCAATACAAGAAGTCCTTGATTTGATCGCAATGATCAGCCCCAAAACACCCCCTTCTGCTTTCATTTGTAACACCCTCGAATGTCTTGAACAGTCAACACTGACCCAGATTCGCCATCACTACCAAGTTCCGATTTTTACAATCGGCCCGTTGCACAAAACATCTCCAACTCCTTCCACTAGCTTCCTTAAAGAAGATACCAGCTGCATTCCATGGCTAGATAAACAATCACCCAAATCAGTAATTTACGTAAGCTTAGGAAGCTTAGCAACCATAGATACAAAAATAGCAACTGAAATGGTATGGGGCATAGCCAACAGTAACCAGCCCTTCATATGGGTGGTTCGACCGGGTTCGGTTCACGGGTGTGATTGGATCGAGTTTTTGCCGGAGGATTTGGTAAGCGAGATGAAGGTGAGAGGTATGATCGTAAAGTGGGCACCCCAGAAGGACGTATTGGCACATTCTGCAGTTGGAGGATTTTGGAGCCATTGTGGTTGGAATTCGACTTTGGAAAGTGTATGCGAAGGGGTTCCGATGCTGTGTCAACCGTTTAGTATCGATCAAATGATGAATGCTAGGTATTTGAGTTATGTCTGGAAGATGGGTTTGGAAATGGTTGTGGAGAGAGGGGAGATCGAGAGTGCAATCAGGAGAGTTTTGGTGAGCAAAGAAGGAGAAGTGATGAGGCGTAGGGCTATGGGGATTGAAGAACAGGTTAGAGTTGCAGTTACCCATGGCGGTTCTTCACGAAACTCCATGAATGATTTGGTAGAGTTCATATTGTCATTGTAATTTAGGTAGCATCCACATTGATGTTTCTAAAGTATCATTGAAAGTTGCCGGATAGAGTAATTTAGAATGCCATTTTCTAGTAGGGTTATATATACATAAATGACTGAAATCGTTGATGGTTTTTTTGTCGCTCACAAAAAAACTGAGTTTGGTCGGCTTTGAAATAACTAATATACCTTTTAAATATTTTGTTTTAATTTGTTTCTGACATATTTAAAAACTGGTTCATATGGTGGGTAGGCTAACTTTAGAAACACTACATATCTGCTCCATTAGTTTCAAAAAATGGCATAGATTGTCCATTTTTTTAAACATTCCCTCTAGTTGCCATTATTTTTTTAAATGAACGATTTTTTATAGTTAAAATTTCAAAATTTGTCCATATGCTTTTCATAAAGTGTCAAGTTGGTTTTGTTTTAACCATCATCTCCTCGGCCATCGCCTTCAACATGCACCAACACCATCTTCGGAAACTGCCACCACCTTATGCCGCTACCACCACCATCATCAATGGTGAATCTAGAGCAAAAAATCACGTGGTTCCCAAATTAAGTAAATTCGATAAAAAAATCAATACTTGTGGGGGGTTGGGTCATGTACATTGAAAAACCTGGCGGTTCAACTCAACTGGTTAAAACCGATCAGGCACCATAGATTATTTTTTTTTTAAAGCGAATGAAATATAATTGAAAAAACCTTACGGTTTAATGAAAAAAAGTTGATTATAAGTCTGTTGATAAAGTAGCGAACAAAAAGTAGGAGTCTTTGGCAATGTCCGACGTCAATTTTAAAACAACGAACAAATGCGAGAAATGCACGGTTGGGGTTTTTTATTTTTCACTTTTAGTGTTTTTTTATTTATTTTTTCTAGATTTGTAAAAGTTAATGAATCGGAAGGAGTTGAGGCATGTGAGCTTCCTTTTATTAGAGTAGTTTATATATTTATCGATATTTTAAGAGTGTCGATAAAGAGTGGTTATCTTTTTATTATCAATCCCATAATTTCAAAGAACAAATTGCCCCTAGTAACATTTTTTTTTTCTCCTTTGAAAATGGTTTTTAAGACATTTTTTTAAAAACAAATTCAAGGTAGGTCATTTATTTTTTCCCCTAGGTCCTTTATTTTTCCCAAGATAGTTCCTAATTTTTCTCCTAGGTCCTTTATTTTTTCCAAGATAGTTCCTAATTTTTCTCCTATATATTATAAACAAAATTGAAATTTTAGGTAGGTCCTAGGACCTACCTTTAGTCTTAGTAGCTACTCCTCTGACCATCACATTCAGCCACCGCCACCACCACCTTCAACCACTACCACAACTAGCACCACCAACACAACCATCAACACTTTCAACAATCACAATCACCACCACCTCCAACAACAACTACCACCACCACCAACCACTTCCACTACCACCATCACAACCTTCAACTTAAACTGCCACCACTTTCAGCCACTACCATCATCACCATCGCTTTTAGCCACTCTGCCACCACCACCTTCAGCTACTGTCGCCACCACCATCACAACTACCTTCATCCACCGTTCATAAGAAGAGAAGATAAGAGAGCAAAGGGGTGAGAAAAGTTTAAAAATTTTTCATTTCACGTATAATTAACCCAGATTTACCAACAAAATGTTAAAAAGAGGGCAAAGTTGCAACTTTTTGAAAACCACTAGTCCATATTTAAAGCGTATTTTAAAGTTGTCCTCGCCTTGCCAATTTTGGAATACTAAAGTGAAACATCCCAAAAATACGGTTCAAAATTTTCATTTTTAAATCATTAATTAAGCAAGAACTACTAAAAATCATTTATCAAAACATGAACCATAATATCTCAAATATCAAAACAGTGTATCCATATCAATTACATGTCGAATAAATCAGAGTAAAATATCCCAGGCTAAACATAAACTGTATGTGTCATGCAGTCATCCCGAGCTCTTCCCCTTGCTACCAGAAGTACTTGAAACCAAAACTAAAAACTGTAAGCACGAAGCTAAATGATTCTCCCCAAACTACCACATACCATACACATAATCACATAATCACACACATTAGGCCTTGCCCGCTACATCGGACCCCGCCCGACATCGGACCGAAGTCCAGTATACATATAACATATCAACAAACATATAACATAGTCACATAACATAAACATATAAACATTCCGAAGGTTTGCCCCGACATCGGACCGAAGCCCAGAACATATAACACAAAACATATAAGCTAAACATTCCTCGGGCTTTCCCCGACATCAGATCGTAGTCCGGAACACATAAACAAACACATGCAAGAATCACGAAGACATCAAGCATACAAACATCCCCTCGGGCTTGCCCCGACATCAAACCGAAGTTCGAAAACATATAAACTACATCGGGTTAACCCCGACATCGCTAATATACATAAACAGGCCGACATTGGTGCCTTAGACTTGTTCCTAGGAGGAAAACTCACCTCAAAATCGAAATTCAAATACTGCTGCTCACGCTATCAGCTGCTCCGAACTACTCCACACCTAAGAAATCATGCAGTGAAAACCTTAGACTTACTCTCTTTCTCAATAGTTGACAAAAAGTCAACTTGGGTCAAAAGTCAATGCCTCGGGTCAATGGTCCACTTTTCTTATCATTCTGTCCTCACGTCGTGACCTTCCTTGGCTCACGTCGTGAGAGTCAGCTCGACTTGGGTCGACACAGCGAGTCAACTTGGTTCACTCGCCTTAGGGTTTCAGATCGGGGCAGTCATCGTGCTCACGTCGTGAGACTATACGTCTCACGTCGTGAGAACTGTTCTGTGAGCATTAAGCTCTTAATCCTTTAAGATGTGCATTGGGACTTTCCAGAATACCATATCTAGCCTAAAGGACCATAAAAATCATATCGTTTCAGTCATGCATGTCTCATGCATGAATTAAACACTAGTTAGGTCAAAAGATGGGTGCAACATCATGATTCAAACTTGGAGTCCAAAACTTGCACCAAAATCCAGATCCAAGGGTTCTAATACAACAAGTGACTCAATGGTCCATAAAGTTGCCAACTTTATGGATTTCATGCATGATAATCCAAGATCCCATGCAAAGAAGGCAACCATAACCTACAGAAGCTCACAAGCTCAGAAAATCCACAAGGAAGGGTTTATCTCGTCAAAAGGAACCACCACAAGAGCTTCTTCTTCTTCTTCTTCTTCAAGGAAAACAAAACACCATTAACACACCAATACCACCAACAATGGCTCAAGGGCTAAAGAGGGCTGAATCTAGGGTTTTTTCAGTGACTTGGGAGTGAAAGAGGCTGAGGATGGGCGAACCTAGACTCCTCATTTCGTTTTATACTCGATTTTAAGGGTTTGGAACCATCAGGCCTGGCTTACGTCGTGAGATCTTATGCCTCATGTCGTGAGGTTCATGAATACGGGTCAAACGGTCAATGGTACTACTCACGACGTGACCACTATGGCTCACGTCGTGAGCCTCTTCTAAATGCAAAAATTAATATTTTTAATACCTCAGGATTCGGATGTTACAATTCTCCCCCACTTGAATCATACTTCGTCCTCGAAGTCCGTTGTCACAAATAATCCTGGATAATGCTCCCTCATCTCCTCCTTTGGCTCCCACATCCACTCTGACTGCACAACCTTGTTCCTCAAGGTTTTTGTCTTCCGATCCAGAATCGCCACTGGTTTCTCAATGTAATTCAGGCGGTCGTCCACCTGAATATCCTCTAAGGGCACAACTGCGGAGTCATCAACTAAGCACTTCCGTAGCTGGGAGACGTGAAAAGTGTTGTCGATCTAACTAAGCTCGGCTGGCAGATCCAGTCGATACGCAACCCGGCCTACCCGATCCAAAACCCTGAACGGACCAATGAACCTGGGGCCCAGTTTGCCCCGCTTCCTGAACCGGATGACACCTTTCCAAGGTGACACCTTCAGGAGAACCATATCCCCCACCTGAAACTGCAGGTCCAACTGGCGCTTGTCGGTATAGCTCTTTTGCCGACTCTGTGAAGTCTGGAGTCTGCTCCGGACCTGCTAGATCATCTCAGTAGTCTTGAGTACCACTTCCGTACTCCCCATGACGCTCTGACCGACCTCGCCCCAACAGATTGGGGTCCTACACTTTCTCCCGTAGAGCATCTCAAAGGGAGGCCGATCTATGCTAGTGTGGTAGCTGTTAGTTGTATATATCGAAAATTCTGCTAACGTAGAAATGTATTCATCTAACTCCCAAATCAATCCAACATACGACATGCGCATCGGACTCCTGCGCGAGATCTGAATCGTCGTCCTCTCACTCTGCCCATCCGTCTGGGGGTGAAAAGCGGTGCTGAAATGGAGACGAGTACCCATCTTGTCGTGAAACCGCTTCCAAAATCAGGAAGTAAAACGAACATCCCGGTCTGACACCATCGAGACAGGCACTCCATGTCGTGCCACTACCTCACGTACGTAGATCTCGGCGAGCTTCTCAGCCGATATACTCTCCTTGATCGGGGTAAAATGAGCACTCTTGGTCAACCGATCCATGATGACCCATATCGAATCCACTCCATGTGCGGTCCTGGGAAGCTTCGTAATGAAGTCCATAGTGATATCTTCCCATTTCCACACAGGAATGTCTAGCGGCTGCATCTTGCCGTCTGGTGTCTGGTGTTCCGCCTTGACCTTCCTGCAGGTCAAACACCGCTCTACATACCATGCTACGTCCCGCTTCCTGCAGGGCCACCAGTAATCAGGGCGAAGATCCCAATACATCTTCGTCGCCCCGAGATGGATGGAGAACCTCGACTTGTGGGCCTCATTCATCAGAACCTGTCGTACCCCGCCCCAGTACGGAACCCAGACCCTCTCATGCAGGGTCAACAACCCACACGACTATCATAATCAAATGAGACCACCCGGCCTACGATCCACTCGCACTTTCGGCGCTCTTCCTTTAGGCCCTCAACCTGTGCCTATCTAATCCGCTCCAGCAATGGAGTAATCACTGTCATCTTCAAAAATATGTCTCGGATCGAGTCCGCCACTGCCTTGCGGCTCAGAGCATCAGCTACCACGTTGGCATTCCCTGGGTGATAAAGGATCTCACAATCGTAATCCTTCACCACATCTAACCACC